AGTATAAAAAATTGATCCATACATTAATTAGCTGTGGAACGGTACATTCACTGACTTTGAAAAAGATACTGAGTTCCAAATCTCCATTGGCTTGTCTTAATTTCATTAGAGTTAAGAAAAGTTGATCTTTAGGTTTTAACAAAGAACACTTAAATCAAAAACTACAGGACCGAGAACATTAAAGAAAAACATAAAATGGGCATAATCTTTAAACCCAGAGTAATATTTAATGGCTCTTGGATTTTCACAGAAATTTTCAACGGAGGGTTTTCTCCGGGTCCTCCGGTTTCCTCCCACTGCTAACGACCCCTACGAGCAAGCGAATTATTGAAGTAAAATTAAACTATACGTTAGTCCCGAAATAACCTAGTTTGTGTCGAATGGACGTTGAGCCCATATCGATGTTGGATAATTTTCTATTTAAAACAAATATGCTCTTTCATTTAGGCCTAAAATACTGTTGTATTAATATTAATAGCCCACTCATTTAATATTTATATTAAAAGGTACACTGGTGCATAGTAGATTAGGGCCTTAAGTTTAATAAAGAGTGGAGGATTGACATGGAATGACGAGTGAAATTTTTTTTAACGGAACTAGGTCTCATTTATACTCGTATGGGATTTGGACAAAATTAAATTTAAAATCTTAATATATACTCTTCAAAAAGAGTAGGGGATATTCAGAAACAATACAAAACTGCGGAAATGCACTGCTGTTTTTATTAGAGGTAACCAGGTTAATACCAGGTCAATTGTCTACACTTGAACATAAACAGTTCATATAGGCGGCTTATCTGACGGTTCCATTTCACTCGCAAAGTGAAAAAAACTATAACCCAGAATTCACACGCGCCACCTGGCGAAGTGCTCATATGCGAAACCAATTGAACAGTCACTCTATTTCTAATTAATTACGTCATATTTGACCAATTAGATAATTGAGCGCCCAAACCCAAAGCTACAAAACCATATTTCTGAGCATTCTAGGGATAGCAGCTGGATTCTAGATGGAAAAGATGTTGCAATCTCTATCATCAGACTCGCCCCAGCGAGTCTGGCTGGATGGGGCTTGAGAGAATGACTTTATTGTAATCTTTTATGCATTGTACCATATGTAAGCAGCTTGATATACTGAGGGCCATGGAAAACGCATCACTTTTTTCCCAAATATTTTATTACTAGGTGGTTTTGTATGTATAATATTATGCAATATTATGAACTATTGTTTCACACAATGCTCCCAAACGCAAAAAATATCGGCCCGTGTGCACGAAAAAAAATTGCACAAGATGCACATGAACAACCCAATATTCACATACAGCATTGTGTGTGAGTCCTTTAAAAGCATGTTTTCAACTTAATGTGCAGTACATGAACTGCGAACCGTCAATCTGTCGTAATTTGTTGTGTGAAGGAATCGAGCTAGAGATGCCGCGACTTACTGAAAATCAACGGAATGAAGCCATGGGAATGTCCAGGGCTGGCATGTCTACACGTGCTATTGCCAGACACTTCCATTATCATCAGTCCACTATTGTAAGGTTGGTGGAACGTGTTCGAGTTACTGGATCAAGAGCGCTACATCCGGGTCACTCATTTGCGTGACAGATTCCGCCCAGCGACTCGAACAGGTGCAGCAGTCGTCGGAAGACAAGTACCAGTAAGTGCCAACACCGTAAGACGTCGTCTAAGAGAAGTAGGACTCCGTGCACGACGACCTTATGTTGGAGCTATCTTCAGGGATCATCACCGTTAGCGGCGTTTGATATGGGCTCAAGGACACCAGACATGGAGAAGAGTAGACTGGCAAAGTGTGCTGTTCAGTGATGAGAGTCGCTTTCATCTTTATCACGCTGATGGCCGTCAACGTGTGTAGGGACGTCTTGGGGAACGTCTTGCAGACTGCTGCGTCTTCGAAACGAATCGATGAGGTGGGTGAAGTGTAATGGTGTGGGGAGGCTTCACATTTCATCACCGGACCGCCCTACACATTTGCAGGGGTCGCGTTAATGCTGTAGCCTACCGTGATGATGGCCCGTGGAGGACACGCGCGCTACTGACATCTTTGTTGTACTTTTGGTTTTAACCCCTCTGACTTTGTATCCTTGATTACAGATTAAACATCCATAAGTGTACAAATGTGTTGTTATTGATGTGTTCCCATTTGAATATTGTTCACAATAAGAAGCAAAATAAATAAGATATGTTTACAGGATCATTTTGTTATACGAAAAACTAAATGATGCGTTTTCCATGGCGCTCAGTATATATAAAATGTAAATACGAACTGTTGCATTGTTATTCCTGGTAAGACAACCGTCTTGACTACTGAGAAGACAAACGTCTAGTAAAAATACTAGACGATCAAGGGCTACTAAGATATGAAGTAAGAAGAGAATGCATGGGTTATACGTGGGGTGTGGAGAATGCTTCTGCCAAAAGACCCATGCTACTACACCTCTCTGCTAATGGAAAACCAGCCAAAATACATTAAGATGGATCGATAACCAAGTCGGTTACCACAGCCATCCAATTTGCTGTTCATAAAGTAAGCGACGTCTATTACATCTGAAGGATATTTATACCTGCACAGATATTACGACGTAGTATGCGTCGCAATTGCCTGTCAGAAATACTTATATCTGCAACTTCTTTTAAAATTAGTAGCAGTCTCGTTGTTTAAACTCCACCCCAAAGCAGATTCGCACTAAAGCGTCCATTTTAAGGGAATATAATGTATCTCGAACACTCGACGTAATTATCACGAGCGCTCGGCCGAGTATCTCGATCGCTCGACTTCATTATCTCCAAGCCTTGACTTAGTATCTCGATATTATTTTTTTTTTGCCTGTTCTAAATCAGCCACCGTATAAAATAAAAACCGGTGTTGAATTAAATATTTATAGAAAGAGAACAAAAGTGTTACATATAGACGGAATATACCGTATAGTTTACTATTTGTTGTGAATAAAACAAGCCGTCGCATGCAAAATATGCCCACATTTTGTAAGAGATGGACCGAAAACAAGCTGACAAAAAGCGATTTTTATACGCCCACATTCTATTGTCGTCGCCCCTGTCCGCCCACAATTTGTTTGTGGACACTCTTCAGGTCGCAATTTTTAACCAATGTTGACGAAGCCTGAAATATAGATTTATATCCCAAAGATCTCGGTTCCTGTCGATATTGGTATGTATCGGACGATAACTTCCTGAATTATGGCCTCTGATTGTACAACAAAGCATATACGTTTTTAGCTTGTGGACACTCTAGAGGTCACAAATTTTATCCGATTTTGATGAAACTTTAAATGTATGTTTATAACCTACAGATCTCGGTTCCTTGCGATATTGGCGCATATCGGGTCGTCACTGGCGGGATTATGGCCCCTGAATTAAAAACAAAACGTTTGAATATATCACCGTTACACCATAGTGGCGGTTGAGTTCGAATTTCGTGGAAATCGAACCGAAACTGCAGGACAAAATGGCCGCAACCTGTACGCAAATAGCGTTAAAGTGTTAATATCAAGGTTGTGAACCCTCTAGATTATGGTCCACAAGCTAAAAACGCGATTTTTCGTACAATCAGAGGTAGGGTACCCCGTGCAGCGAAAATTTTCAGTGGCTTGTCCCGAAGTGATTTCTGTCTGATCACGCAGTGCAATAACCCTCAGCATAAGAGTCTATGAGTCTATAAATAGCCATCGCACGTGAAATTATCTACACATCTATCTACTATTACAGCCGTAAAAAATCTATTGTTGACGATTCTGAATAGCAGTAATATTTAGCTTTTTGGTTATTACAGAAGCTTTAGAAATTACATTCGTTTTATCTTTTAAGTTGCTTTATCATTAACTATACCGTTAGGAGCGGCATCTTTTGGTTTAGTACAAATAATATCTCTGAAACACTTGTGTAAGACAAGAAAATTATACTAGCGGTAGTTTCATTTTACTTTTACATGATTCTTAAAACAATAATTGTTGAGTTGCCTAACGTGCGTGTTTCTAAATTCAGTTTCTTGTTCCAGCTTTCTGTTATGTTTCGTAAAAAAGTAGTCTTGATTATCCCGGCCTGTCAATCAGGCGGAGAAAGGTAGACTAGTTAAACGAGACCATTTTCTAAACAAGGGCACGTAACCTATTTTTTACTCAAAAGTGCCCGGATGTTATGGCCGACACTGGTAACCACTTTTCAGTCTATATATATTTATAGATCGTTAAATGGTCATAGCTTATTAAGTACAACATGGCCGTTTATTTGGTGACTATAAATGTGCGAAACCGATTTAAGGCTTGGTATATTATATAAATATTGTGGTGTAATTGTCGAGATATTTGGATATATTTATTTATGGTGGGGCACCCTATCAGAGGTTATAATCCAGCAAGTTATGGACCAATATGAACCAAAACAGAAACCGAGATCTTTGGGTTATAAACACACCTTTTAAGTTTAATCACAATTGGATAAAAATTGTGACCTCCAGAATTTCGACAAGCGAAAAACGCTATTTTTCGTATAATCAGTGGCTACAATCCACGAATTTACTCTCCGATAGGCCCTACGTGCCAATATCGACAGAAACAGAGATCTTTGAGATATAAACCTATGTTTCAAGTTTCGTCAAAATCGGATGAAAATTGTGACCTGTAAAGTGACCACACACAAATGTGAACGGACTCACATCCCCAATAATAATAAGCCTGCAATAAATAATTAAATTAGTTATTTCTGAGCTTTAACCAATGTTTTATGACGTCCGCTAGTACCAGTCTATTCAACATCTCCCAAGTGATGGCGGATATGCTAAAGATTTTTAGATTTGTCAAAAATATTACCTTGAAAACTAAACAGTTCAATCACTTGAAGATACCACTAGCAACCCCCCCCCCCCCACACACACACACACACATACAAAAAACCAATGTGCATTTTAAATAGTTTATCGACACAAGTACTGCGATACATAATTTCATATTATACTTTCAGTTCGTTCCATATCTAAAGACCATCTTGATGTTATAATGATAACTGACGATGTAAGGAGACAACTTGATATTCGCATTCCAATGTCCTTTATGGGGTCTGTGTTGCATAGCAATACAGTTGAGAATTCCGTTTCTGTCCCTCTGCCAGATACAGAAGAGGAGTGGTGTAATGCGTTAGTACCTGTCGATACTGATACTGAATATAGTCTAACACAAACAGAATCGGGGTCCAGTATTGGTTTAAGAATAAGTGCTGCTGTAGTAAAGGTTTTATTAGAGCTGAATGACGACCTAGAGGGGTTTTTGATTATGGCTGAAGATGAATATGGTAAGTAGGACTATGATTAGTTATTGTATAATAGGCGATCCTATGGCATAATTAATAAATGCTCAAAAGACTAATACAATAGCACTGAACGAACATTGGTATCTGAATCTACATGTAGATGATAAAATCAAGTTTTAATCAGTCATCCGTACAGAACAAACTCTGGAAAACAACCAATACTTTAAGGTATCCTGCATACCATCTTCGGTATCAAAGAACGTGTCTCGGCACTTCACATCCATTTTGTCAGAGCTAAATATCTCATTGGCGGTAATTAGATGTAACTTTAATTTGAAGCCAATCAGATGAGAGGGGGCTCATTCATTCCACAAATAATGACGCGATATTCGTATAATCAGTGACCCCGTTTAACGTTCGATACATAGAAATCGGCACTATAAATTTAAACTATGGTAACTTGTATATATATATATATATTATTGACAATTTTCTCTAATATGCCAGGGTGTCCAAGGGAGAAAATCTATATTGAAATATTGGGTCGTTATCCACCTTCATAAGATGTTTTCGCACTTAGCCCAGTTGGTACAGTATTTAACAACAGAATTGACAATTATTGCTTTATTATGACGTTACAAAAATGGCGATTTTATAACATTACTCGAGCAGGTAGAATATAAATTTTCTAAAGAATCTTGCTTGTCAACACCGAATGATAATTATTTTCAGCCGACATCATATGTGAACACGAAAATAGTTTTTTTTTTGTTAATTAGAGTTAAATATTTTGATTTTGTTTGCAACATCAATTAACTAGTTCGAACTTGAAGCATCCTCTATCGAAGAATTACTGGAGCGTGTGTAACCACAGAGTCTTTCGTCCGGTATAACGGGATGTGATTAATACACACTCAAGCCATGCGTGCTTTTTTGGGTTCAAATATATTGTCTATCGATTATTTACCCAGAAAAAACAAATACATCTATAGAACTGGCGGCATAACACAATGTATCTATTTTCATTAAATCTCACAGGGTTTGTGACGAATACTTCCAGATTAAAGCGACGCGACACTCAACCTGCAGAACAACGGATTTCCCAATTTAGCGCCCTAACGATAAAACATGAAAACATCAAATGGACCAAGTTTTGTATTCTTGAATGGAGCAAAATGTATCAAAAATTCTAGATGTACATTTGTCGTTTTCCTACAGAGTACAAATTTCTATTTTCAGCAATGGTTGCCGATGAAATCAAGGGTACAATTTCTACGAAAGGAATTAAAATTACCTACCTCCAGAATCGTAACTTCACTATAGATGAAACTTTAATGAGTAACATAGAGAGTATACACAGAACCAGACAGAAATATATCCTAGTTTTGGCTTCTGTTCCGAGTATAAAATATATCTTTCAACAGGTATAATATATTGCGTGAACATGCACTTAACGTCGTTTACTTTAACAATGACATTTTACTTGCGCTCAGTCGCATCTCATTTGCCCTTCACGCTTTCTACATAGCATCTTACACACAGCATTAACTGATATGCAAATGTAGGAATCAGATTACTTATTAACATATACGGAAACGAGGCAGAGACCAACCTTGTCAACAGATATCAGCACGCTATAAGAGGAAATCAAGCTGGCACACTATAAGAAATTTTCCTATCTTTAAAACGATCAAAATTGGATGGTAATTCTTATTACCATCATTACAGATGAAAATACTGGTCTTAATACGAATATCCAGATATAACGTTAGTGAAAAGCACGTTCATTTCCCTTTTCAAATATGCAAATAATCTTCTGTCGCATTCATATTTACTCACCATGAAAAATGACCAAAGTTGTATAGTACTAAACTATATTGTGAAATTACGGGTCTTAATAGGGAATTCCATATACCATGTAAAGTACGGTCATTGCCCTTTTTGAACTAAAGCTTTGGCGCTTAACCCAAAATTCCGTATATCTATACTGTGAAATGTATAGTCATTCCTCTCTTTAAGTATATTTATTATTTGTAGCGCACAATGCATATACTTTTTTTTAAAAAGTTAATTACCCTTTACTCAAATTTAGAGCGATGGGGAGCGGTGGTGCGTGTTTAAAATGCCAAAATACGGGTCTTAATACGAAATTCCAGTTATCGTGCATGTTTCTATGGCTCTATACTATAAATCCATAAGTTATTTCCGGGCGCTTTACTTTTAGAGAAAGAAAAATCCTCGTTGCCTTGTCGAAAGAAAATGTGTTGCTGTCAAACAGTAACCTAATTTCTTAATATAGATTATACTTTCAATTTATCTTATTTGTCGAAGGATCCAATTAACCATACCAATCACATGATTTCATTGCCATCACGGTTGTTCAGTGAATTTCTTATAGTGTGTCAGGTTGATTCCTCTTATCGTGTGGTAAATATCCTATAGTGTGACAGGTTGATTTCTTCCTCGTTTCGGTATAATATGTTAATAAGTCACGTGAGATCCCACATTTGCATATCAGAGTTAGTGCTCTGAGTAAGATACTATGAAGGACAAATGAGATGCGACAGAGCGCAAATGTAAAATGTAATGAGAGAAATGTAAAATGTAGACACGTCAAAAAACACCATTTTCCACTAAAACATTTGTCATTTGACACGTAGCATTTGACTTTGGCCCTAGAGGTATTTTGACTTTAACGTTACCGGTATTAGGACTTTGTACATATGATACCCGTATAAATAATCGAAAAAACATTTTAGCAGAGCATTTAATATTGGCAGCGATAACCTTCCATATTTTTTAGTCACTATCGCTACGCCTATAACTTCTTCATAACAGTTTTCTTAAAAATAGAAAATATTATTAGAAATGACTATCCTGACCGCATTTATAATAAAAATATTCGAGAAACGTGTGGATAGTACGGTACGTTCCCCAATTGTGGCCAATTGCCAGGAATAATCAGATATGAAGTTTCCATGTTCATAGATGGCCCTTCGCATTAACGATAGTAATAGTGGATATTAAAATGTTATTTTACTCTTTTAAATAGGTTGACCGATATGAAAGCAGGAAAGGAAAGAAATTTACATTGAGTCAATCAACAAGATGGTTGACCGTTATACCTGATACACGATCGTCAAGGGTGATTGTACAAGACGCATCCAAAATAATAAATAATATCGCTGTAATAGCTATGCCTGTCATTAGAACAAAGGCAACAATTCGGGAGGTAAACATTAATGTTATTTCATAAAGTATAGTATTGTTCATGTTGTAGACCCGTGTTTATAAACTATTGATAGTTTTAAGTATACAAATAAGGTTGCAATAATGTGCAAGCGCATGACTTAATCCACATGATATTTAAAATTATAGAAATAGAGTAAAGATCTGGATGATTAATGCATTTGGTAAAAAAATTGGTAAAGCCTATGTATATGATTCTATAGTTATGCCGGGTGTCTCTCGTACGATAGAGCCTGCTTGCGCCTACTCTTCCGAGAAAAAAAATGACTATTGCTGATTAATAATTGGCCATTTAGCAAGTCCGCTTCTATATTTTCTAGATATTAGTTTTAGTTTTATGTACATTTTGTCAATACACTGATTTATAGAAACTTTGACTTTGTTTAATGACATTAGGGAATAACAATTTGATTTTCTTCGTCCAGCATCTATTATCGCTGTCTCCATGCCATACAAGTTATCTGTATACATTATTGTGGAAGCCTGAAGGTCGAAGATTAAGTCTTGTTGCGTATCTTAACAATAGATGTATTAGGAAAACGAATAGAGATATATTTCCTAATGTCAAGTTTGGACTCAACAATCGAACATTAAAGGTAGTTGTAAACACTGTAAGTATCCTTTAAATCAACTAGATGGTACAAGAAATGATAACCCGGGAGCCCAGTGAGATTTAATCAAATATTGAGTCCAAAAGGTTTGAGGTTTACAACACATATTTTACCCCTAGATCATTTTGGAAAGCCAAGTCTTAAGTTTTGTAACCTCTGCATATACCTGGGAGCGCTCCCCCTAACCCTCCCATATTTAATGGGAGTTAAAATTCAATGTCCATTTACAATTTTTTGCAAGCGTTTCACACTTAACACTAAGAAACAGAATGCATGACTTAAGAGCATACAATGTTGTGCTAATGTTACTTAAGAGCTTAATTAATTAGCCCTAATTAGTGACCGTAATTAAAATTTAGAGTCCATAACTGAGATAAAGCCTAAAAAGCTAGCTAACCAAGTCATGAAACCAAAAATATAACTTAAAAGCGACAAAAGTTGAACAAACCTTGCTTAAGACTCGTTCAAAGGTCAAAGGTCACTAACGAATGACCATAATTAAAATTTAGAGTCCGTAACTAAAACAAACCCTAAAAGCTAGCTAACCAAGTGAGGAAACCAAAAATACCACTTAAGAGCGACAAAAGTTGAACAAACCTTGCTTAAGAGTGGTTCAAAGGTGTCAACGGTCAAAATTTAGGTTACATAATGACGTTTGAGTGTATTTGATTAAATTGTCTTGTCCGGGATTATTTTTCTTTCTAACACCATTTCTATGAGTTTTACTGCACAAAATGACTGCTTAAGAGCATGAAATGCTGTACTAATGCTACTTAAGAGCTGATTATATTAGCGCTTTTTTGTGACCATAAAACAAAGCCTAAAAGCTAGCTAACCAAGTCAGGAAGCCAACAATATCACTTAAGAGTGACAAAAGTTGAACAAACTTTGCGTAAGACTGGTGACAAAGGTCATATTTTGGGCCACATTATGACCAATCAACCAATCAAATTGTTTATCTCTGCTGATCCTAAACATAAAATGCGCATCTTCGAACTCCATCAAGCCATTCACATTATCAACACCTACACCAAGTTTAAAAATTCTACCTCAATTAGAAGAAGAGTTATTGTGTCCCAAATGGCTTGATGAACAGACAGACGAACAGGCCCATTTTAATAGTTCCCTGCTTTCTTCGAAAGACGGATGACAATAATGTTGATGTCAGCAATAATTATGCACTTGAAAGTATGGCAAAGTTATCAGTACAATAAGGAAATTTAAAATTGAAAGAGACTAAAGTTCCTTTTAGGCATTATTCGATTTAAATAAGTAATTCCAGAAATAGTTCAATGGGTGAACTGTTTAAAGTTTGATTAGCTCTGGTCTTTTGAAGAGACGAAATTGGGTCGGAAAGCACATGTTATTAATGTAATATGAGTATAAAGTAATATGCCAAATTTTGAATTTATTTTATTGTATATTCTAATCAATTGTTAAACGTCATTGTGAAAGATTGGATAAAGAGCTGACACTTCGCGCTATAATGGTTAAAAATAGATAATGTCAAGAGAATATGCTGAAAATTTCAGTAAAGTTGCTGAACTCTGAGTCAAGAAAAAATTCATTTCAATAACACTGTAGACTCGGTTGTCATTGTTAATGTAACGATAACAGACAAGTCTCGCTTATCCATTTTTACGGTTAATCACCAAGCATTGTTGAACAGCAGATCAGATTTAAACTTGTATAAAATCAGACTCATCAGATGTCATCGAGGGTTGATTATGGTCTTGCCATGTTAATACACGTCTAACTAATACATCATATAACATATAACTAATGAAATACTTGCAACTGACAGATTTAGCTAACGTATAATACATGTTTATTATATTTGATGTCATCGAGGGTTGATTATGGTCTTGCCATGTTAATACACGTCTAACTAATACATCATATAACATATAACTAATGAAATACTTGCAACTGACAGATTTAGCTAACGTATAATACATGTTTATTATATTTGGTGAAATATGCGAACAATTCAAATTGAACGGCTTGTTTTGTTCTGTTTTTGACGGTGGTGGGTTGTGTGAAACAGCCATTTTAAATTACTTTCGCATTGTCGATAATGTCTTGGTAGTATTTATTTATTGTGGACTAATCAATTAGTTTGCGAACAAATTTTCTTATCAACACCCTTTTATTTAACAGAACACAGTTTTTATGGGAAACAATCACAGGTTACTATAGCCTACATCAACAAGCTTGACAGTACTAGATCCATATTACAATCGTTAACAATATAATATTATTACGAATAGATAAAAAGCATACAGTTAACGAGGAGACAGAAATGTATTGAACACAATGATGACAATACAAATATTAAATCAAAATAATTAACCACTTCGCATATATATAAATAGAAGTAGCATTGGTGGAATACACAAATCGAATATTGTAATTAATCACAGCTCTAAACTCCTTTTGATATCTAGAAATTGTCATGGGTCGGTCGCAGGGATTGTATGCCTCCTTTAAGAAGCATCTCTGGTGTTGAAATCGCCCAAAACAGCATCGCATTCCGAAATCCGTGCCTCACTCCACAGCAAATCTAATTTACAATTGGAAATATTTAGGAGCGATCATCCGTAATAGAATGAAAATTGATGAAACAAGACTATTAGCCAACAAGAGTATCGCATGTCTGTAGGAATGTATTACTTGTGTGTACATGTATCTGTTTTCTATGTTATATCTATTATTAAATGTATACGTGTTGTCCTAATGGACGTTTTGATGCAATTAACGTCTTATCTTATCTAGCACAAACATCTTGTAAGTAAAAGCCGGTCTTGATACTATGATAGCATTATACGGAAAATAACCTTCCGATTTCGATTTTTTTCCGTAAAGATCCATGTAAAGGAGAACACATAAATGTTTCAAATCGTATATGGACTAATTCATAATTTAATTTTCTGTTGTTTTTTTTAAAACCAGAGAGTTATCCAGTTCTATACTTCCATTCTCAATATTTAGAATAAATGGAAAAACTTAACAGTTTTTGCATTTCATTTCCTAGGAATGAGTGATTCGTCGCATAGTTTTTCCGCGTCTCTTTGGGGCAAGCAGAGATAAGCAATTTGATGGGTTGATTGGTTAATTGGTCATAATGTGGCCCAAAATATGATTTTTGTCACCAGTCTTACGCCAAGTTTGTTCAACTTTTGTTGCTCTTAAGTGATATTGTTGGCTTCCTGACTTGGTTAGCTAGCTTTTAGGCTTTGTTTCAGCTATGGACTCTAAATTTTAATTATGGTCACAAATGAGTGCTAATTAATTAGCTCTTAAGTAGCATTAGTACAGCATTTCATGCTCGTAAGCAGTCATTTTGTGCAGTGAAACTCATAATCCCGGACAAGACAATTTAATCAAATACACTCAAACGTCATTATGTGACCTAAAATTTGACCTTTGACACCTTTAAACCACTCTTAAGCAAGGTTTGTTCAACTTTTGTCGCTCTTAAGTGATATTAATTTCCTGACTTGGTTAGCTAGCTTTTAGGCTTTGTTTCAGTTATGAACTCTAAATTTTAATTATGGTCATTCATTAGCGACCTTTGACACCTTTGAACGAGTCTTAAGCAAGGTTTGTTCAACCTTTGTCGCTCTTAAGTGATATTTTTGGTTTCACGACTTGGTTAGCTAGCTTTTAGGCTTTGTTTCAGTTATGGACTCTAAATTTTAATTACGGTCACTAATTAGTGCTAATTAATTAATCTCTTAAGTAGCATTAGCACACCATTGTATGCTCTTAAGTCATGCATTCTGTTTCTTAGTGTTAAGTGTGAAACGCTTGCAAAATAAATTGTAGATGGTTAGGGGAGCGCTCCGAGGTATATGCACAGGTTACAAAACTTAAGACTTGGCTTTCCAAAATGATCTAGGGGTAAAATATGTGTTGTAGACCTCAAACCTTTTGGACTCAATATTTTGATTAAATGCGTATATTGAACTACTGACATGCGCTGTGAGCGCTTAACAGGCAGCACACAAAATTTTTGGCTCTTCAGTTTTTGCTAATATTTACAAGTTTTAAGAGATTTTTCAAATATAATTTTTGGACTAGTCTGTTTCCAAAGTCTTTCAGACTCAGGATTTAGTTTTGTGAATGGAAACAAATGGATTACTATGCTATTTCGGATGATATTTATATTTTATTTCTGGATAATTCTGGAAAGTAACAGTGAACTCATATTTAACACCCAAGCTCTGATGATTTCCACCAACCAGATTAATCACTACAGTAGAGATGAGCTATTGAACATAAACTCATTAACAAAAGATGTCATTAAACTAGATCAATTTGAAGTGACTACTTTTCGACAAATTGGTATTTCTAACTCAAAACCAACAAGAAGGGGTAAAAGAGCTGGAGTTAGAAAACAAAAACTTGCTGATGTCAACTCAGATGTTGACAATTTAGTTAAAGATGATCAATTCAAAAAGGTCACTTGTCTTAATAACCTCATTTCACAACCGAAACACTCTATTAAACTAGCACTTTGGAATGCAAGATCTGCTAGAAATAAAACTTTAGCAATATCAGACGAAATTGTTGAAAATAAACTTGACATTGTGTTAATCACGGAATCATGGTTAAAGAAGACTGGGGATGACTCAAAACTGAATGAATTAACCCCAAATGGTTACTCCTCAAAAAGCTTTCCTAGATTACATGGTACTGGTGGTGGCATTGTCATCATTTACAAAAGCTATATTAAACTTGTAGTGGTTGCATCACACCTTTAGGTTTTCACGTCTTTTAAATCTGTAGAATTTCTAGTAACCCATGTGTCTCAGACTCTTAAGATTTGTAGGTGTTTATAGATCTCCATCATGTTCTGTGTCTGACTTTTATCAAGAATTTTCCCAGTTATTAGGCATTGTTTGTGTTAAACGTGGTCAGCTTATTCTCCTTGGAGACTTTAATGTTCATTTTGATTGCCCAGACAAACCTGAAGTAAAGAAGATAGTGAATTTATTATCTATTCATAACCTCACTCAACTTGTTGAAAGTTGTACACATAAAAGTGGACATATTCTTAATTGGATTGTAACTCGTTCTTTTGAGAAAACAGTAAAATCTTGTGATGTGGTAGACAATCAGATGTCCGATCATTTCTGGATATTTTTATCTCTTGATTTTGAAAGACCTGTAGAAGCACCACAACTTGTCACCTGTAGGAATATCAAGGATTTTAGTAAAGATCTTACAGAATCCAAACTGTTGAAAAATCTTCCTGAAGACTTGGATCAACTTGCAGATCTATTCTTTACAACACTGACCAACCTGATGGATATACATGCCCCAAAGGTCTCGAAGCATGTCAGAATTAAGCCAAGATCGCCATGGTATTCTGAGACCATCTCCCTAGCTAAAAATGTGCGATGGAAAGCAGAGAGACATTGGCGAAAATCTCGTTTAGAGATCCATCGACAAATCTATGTCAGCTGCAGAAATGATGTTAATAATCTCCTTAAGTCTGCAAAGGCCAAATATTGTAAAGAGCAGATCGAGTCAAACACTGGTAATTCTAAAGCCCTTTACTTTTTTATGTTTTCTTTAATGGGCAAGCGTGATGAAGGGAGGCTTCCTGTGGTTGATAATGATACTGAATCCTTGGCAACCAAATTCAGTAACTTTTTCCATAAGATTGTCACAACCCGGCAGTCGATAAATAAACACGATTACTCTAGTCTTGCATTCAACAATCCTAGTTATTCCGGTACTTTACTGGGAGCTTTTACACCTTTTACGGATGATGAAATTCAGAAACTAGTCCAATCCTCAAAACCAACATCATGCGAGCTTGGTCCAATTCCGACTAGCGTTTTTCTAACATATCTGGACATTCTACTGCCAACCATCACGAGCATTATCCATAAGAGCCTTGTGACTGGTACTGTTCCAGCACTCTTCAAATCAGCTGTGGTAAAACCTTTACTTAAGAAACCATCTCTTGATCCAAATATTCTTAAAAATTACAGGCCGGTTTCCAATCTGTCCTTTTTATCCAAGATTCTGGAAAAGGCAGTCAAAACCCGGTTATTTGATCATCTTGAAAAAAACAACTTGTTTTGTGAGTTTCAGTCAGCTTATAGACCTCATCATGGAACTGAAACAGCCTTAAACAAAGTTGCAAACGACCTTAAGATTTGTGTCGATAAGGGACATGTTTCACTGCTGATATTGTTAGATCTTTCGGCAGCTTTCGACACAATAGACCACCAAAAGCTGCTTTTCCGTCTTCAGAAAGACTTTGGTATTAATGGCGCTGTTTTGGAATGGTTTAGATCCTATCTGTCATCTCGAAATCAATCTGTGATTGTCAACTCAGACAAATCAGAATGTGTTCCGCTAGTGTGTGGTGTTCCTCAAGGTTCTGTTTTAGGACCTGTTTTATTTACCATGTATACAAAGCAGCTTGGAGATGTTCTAAATCAAAATTCTGTCTGTCACCATCTTTATGCTGACGACACCCAACTTTTAGATTCGTTTACTCCTGGATCAGATCAGACAGAGGTGCTCACAAAAATGGCTTGAAATTAAATGCAGAAAAAACCGAAGTTATCCTTTTTGGCTCCAAAACTCGATTATCGCACTTGTCAAATTTAAAATTCGACATGGGAGATATGGAATTTCCGCCAATATCAGTGGTAAAAAAATTAGGCGTTTTATTGGATAGTGATCTGACCTTTATGAAACAAGTTGATGATCTGTGTAGAAAATGCTACTGCCATCTGAAGTACATCAGTTCCATCCGCCATCTTCTCACACAAGATTCAGCTTCAGCTCTAGCGCGATCATTAATTCTATCGCGACTAGACTTGTAATAGTCTTCTCACCGGCCTACCGCAAAATCAACTAAATCGGCTTCAGCGAATCCAAAATTTCACAGCAAGAATGGTCACAAGATCTCCATATCATTGTCACATAACCCCAGTTCTCCAAACCCTTCATTGGTTACCAGTCAGTGCCCGGATAGACTTTAAAATACTCTGCCTAACACATCAGTATGTCAGTGGAGACGCTCCTGATTACCCCTGCAAATTAATGCAACGGTATATTCCAAAAAGACAGTCGCGTTCAGAAAATCTCAATCAGTTAGTGGTACCAAAGTGGAAACCTGCTACCTTTGGACAAAGGGCGTTTGCTGTTGCTGCCGCTGAAAGATGGAATGCACTTCCAGTTGATCTCCGTTTTGTGACTTCTTTATCAATCTTCAAATCTCGATTAAAAACTCATCTTTTCAAAACTCACTACAGAAATTGACAAAAAAAACCCAAAAAAACAAAGAGCCAAAAGACTTTTGTATAGTTGTATGCGCTATGAGCACGATTTGTGGATTCGGCGCTATATAAATGGACATATTATTAAATCTCACTGGGCTCCCGGACTATGATGTGACACAAACCGTACTTTTTCAAGATTACCAAACACTTACATTTGTAGAACTAATGCTACCCTTGTTTGCTTTTTATAGATCTTTACATGCCTATTTTAATTACACGTTTTACTATTTCAATCAGATTTGAGAACACACAATTTGCAACAACGTCCACAATTCCCTAGATGTCTGTGTGAAAAGCATACCACTTCACAAACATAGCAAAAAAAAAAACTTTCTGTACTTTTGTTTTTTCCATTGATTTTACATATCCGCTGTGCAATGTCAAGAAATCAATTTGTATATTAGAAAACAAAAATAGACTAACCCTTCAAGCTATTCAGCCAAACGATTGTATTAATTTCACGGAGAATACACTGGAACAATAATCTCAAATTATGCTTGTGGGAGAAAACACCTAACATACCCGTACTTTCGGTACCCGCTTCGTGACTCCCAGGCATTCGAAACACGAGTACCCGCCTTAGTAAAAATGAGTAGTAAATATGAGTCGAATTGGCAGTCATTATTAATCCGGTATGCATATCCTATGGGCTTGTGTTCATTTTTGTTTCAGTATGCACCTTTCATCTATAAAAGAATGGTAAATGGAGAACCTGAATATAATGGTCTGTGTATAGATTTATTAATCGAACTTTCACGATCGATGAATTTTAGGTGTGTACATACAATGATGGTACTTTTGGGAAATATCGAATAAATTATGTACGACTTATTGTTCGTAGAACATCTGATACTGTTTATACTGAGTGAGTGGATAGATAAAAAATGGATAATCGATTTTATGCACCCACATTTTCATTTGGACGTATGATACTGGCGTCGCCCTGTCCGTCCTGACATCCGTCCACAGTTTGTGGACAGTCTACAGGTCACAATTTTTTTCCAATTTTGACGAAACTTGACATGTTGGTTTATCTCTCAAAGATATCGGTTCCTTTCGATATTGGCATGTATAGGAATGTAACTTCATGAATTATGGCCCCGTATTGTACAAAAAATCGCGTTTTTAGCTTGTGGACGTCCTATAGGTCACAATTTTTATCAGATTTTGATGAAACTTGAAATGTATGTTTCGATATTTCGTAACTGGATTATGGCCCCTGATTGTACGAAATATCGCGTTTTTAGTTTGTGTACCATCCCTAGGGGTCTGTCAATGCGTTATGTCGGATAAACCTATTTTTTTTCTCTGTGGATTAGTATAAATTCTGTTGATGATTCACCAGTCAGAACCATAACAAGGCAAAAGAATAGTTATATGAAGTTATTTCAATAACAAAATCACATAAATATTATCCAATTTAATATTGTAGAGAAAGTAATGACTTAGCTTTTTGTCTTTACGAAGGCCCATTAATCCGTTTGAACGAGTTATATTTATTTTGCATTATCTATTTTTGAACTATGATAGCAAGAACGACCAGCTCTTTATCTAAATCTTACATAATGTATCTTTAATAATGTAAAGACGTAGATTTGAAACGCACCCAATTCAGAAATAATTGTGCCTTAGCTGAATTTTAGCTAGCTCAGTGAACAGAACTACGATTGTTTGTCAACGGTGTTTACATATTAATTGAACTTTGCAGTAAAGGATTATCCCAGAGTAAATGTATTCCTAGTGTTGATTGCCTTGCCATACAACAGATGGAAGCGGGATTTCTAAGATAGAGGGGTGGGGGTGTAGAAGAAACAACTAATTTGCGACGTCTACTTTAATGGCGCGAGTTTTGTTAGAAAAGTCTGCTGTCCTCGGATGACACGAAAAACTGTGGATGACACAAAAAAAACGTGGAATGTAGTAGCAGTATGCAAAACGAAACAAGCGTAGTAATTGTGCCGAAACATTGCACGTCTCACCCCCCGCCCCAACCCCCCGCCACTTGGGTGCCATGTGGCAAAGCAACGCTGCTGTTGGTCGACTTGTTCGAGAGAACAGGGGACGTGAAACCGAGAGCCGCAGAGGGGAAGGATGGCTCAAGGTGAACCAAGAGGGAAAGGTCTCCGTGTCGGCTTTCGCCGGTAATCAAATGTAGGACGGCCAGAACAGCCGTTCCTCGCTTGAGACAGTGTTCTCCTCTGCAGCCCTCGGCTTCAAGTCCTCTGTCCTATCAAGGAAGTCGACCAACGACAGCGTCGTTTCTCCGCACGGTTCCCTAGTGGGAGGAATGCGAGGTGCAATGAGATGAATTTTGCGGCACTACTACTCTTGCTTCGTTTTGCATGCTACATGCGCAAATTAGTTATTTCTTTTAACACTCCCACCCCCAACCCTCTATCTTATTAACTCACCCAAATCCTCCCCCAACGCAATCAACACTGGAAATAAGTTCATCTGGCAATAATAACATTAATCCTTAATATGTAAACATCGCTGACAAGCAATCTTATACCTATAGTTCCGTTCTCTGACCTAGTGAAAATTCAGCTAAGGCACAATCTACCATTTTATTTCTTAATTGGGTGCATTTCAAATCCACGTCCTTACAATATCATACATATACCTGTCGTAATGCCTGTTTAAGCATATACATGTCATAAAACAATGACTTCACTACAATGTTTTGGCTAACCCAGGCTAACATTAAACAAATTAGATAATTTCCAAGGTATTCTATACTAATTCCCCTTTTTACAAGTGTAGTTCCTTCTACTAACGCTAACGCTAGAAAAAGTAAAGAACCTACGCGTATTAAATCATATTATCTTTACTTTAAACACAATTTCTGCATGTCCGTCCATACTTCTGTACAATCGAAATCTTAATTCGTTCAAACGAGATAATTAATTCGTTCAAAGGAGATACTAACTCGTTCAAACAAAATAAGTAATTCGTTCAAACGAGATAATTAATTCGCTTAACTGAGATAATTAATTCGTTCAAACGAGATACCAATTTGTTCGAACGGATTAATTTTTTTGTTTGTTTGGCACTAATGGGTCTTCGTATAAATATATCACCGTTACACCATAATGAAGGCTGGGTTTGAATTTCGGGAAAATCGAAACGAAACTGCTGCTCCTTGTACGCAAATAGTGTAAAGGTCACAATTGTTGTCCAATTTCGATATTGATCCCTTTAGCTTGTTCTCTATCCATTTCTTGCAAAATGTGGACGTATCTTGCATGGCAACCACTGGTATTCTAATTCGTCAACCCTGTCCACTTAGTGGCTGCTTGGTATCATCTCGTAATATCGCCCTTCACCGTCGTGGTGTCGAGTGAAACTTTCGCGATGTCGGAATAAAATGTCGGGATGTCGGGTTATGAAGGGCGGCATGATACCAATAAGCCACGGTAGTCCATCCTGTGCCCGATTCCTAGAAAATTCTTAAGCACGTTATTGTGCTTAGATTTAAGTAGACTTTGCATTTAAGTAAACTTACCTTATTTTAAGTAGACTTCATTGATTTTAAGTAGACTTCATTGTAAGCACAAGAACGTTATTATGCGTTCCAAGAAAAAACTTCAGCACAACTTCGTTCTTAAACATAGTCAATCTAAGCACAAGTCCCAAGCAAGGTATACGGCTTGCTTACCAACCTTAAGTCTGTTTCTGCTTCAAAAAGATGGCTGACGTAGAGTTATTCGACGGCATTTCCGACACCTTTTGATACAATTACAAGATCGAGAAAATCCTTCCCCATAAGAAATTTCAAATTAAGAATGCTATAGAAAATATCGCTTCTAGGCCTACCCTGAAACCATTTTATTTATTTGCCAATTAGTAAACAATAGGCTACAAACACACATGCTACTTTAAGATCAGGCGCTCTCACAATTATTCAGTTAGTTTGTATGTGTCTGCGTTTTTTATCTTGTGGCATATTTTATATGTGAATAGGGGACATGGCAAATGCATCGAAATGAACATTATATATGACGTCAATGAAGCAGACGACAAATTTAAGACGTAATTCGCATACCAAAGTTGTTTTTATGAGGTTAAAGAGCATCGTAGTCTCAGTTTATGGTAAACTTTACCAGTCACAATGTGCTTAGACTTATACTTGACATGTGCCTTCGTAAGAATGGTCTTGAGAATTTTCTAGGGACGGTATTTTTATAAGTTTCTTACGTAAGAAAAAGTGAAGCATAACTTTGTGCTTACTTTAAGAATTTTCTAGGAACCGGGCCCAGGTCTTATAAGGCGTGTTCTGTGATGCACAGTTTGTGATTGGTCGCCCCCGGATAGGGCTGCCTAATAAAGGGACCCTCAAATGACCCATTTCCATCCTTAGCACCACTGTAGTAAGATATTTGGGAAAATAATATAAACATGTCATTACTAGCACTTCAAAGTTCTAAATAATTTATAGAAAACTTAGACCCCGATGCTCTGACTTGCAAGGTCACAAATTCCTTGTCCCGCATGCCCTTGCAGTGACATATTTGAAGATCTCAATCACTACTTTCTGCGATGTGTGTGTGTGTTAAACATTTTAACTATGTATACCGCTTTGTTCGGGCGAATAGAAATTTGGCATCGGGACTGTGGACACATTAGGTGAATTTGGGCGGCATTTGATTCCCTCAAACTCTGTACTAAATAGATTTTTAGATTTAACTAAATTCAACAATCCCTTAAATATAATCGCGTCAACAATATATGGACTTTCGAAAAGGAGGCTGGGATATATACCTTAATAGCGATGCAGTATCAGATGTTTCGTAAGAGTAAGTTGAGAAAAAACTGATGAGTTATCGACGTTTTAAGAGTCAGTAAATAATTGTGGTTTTCATCGATTTCTTCAAACAAAATACTTTGTAGTGCTTGAATTTTTGAAAGTAATAATTAATGTATATTTTACAGTTATACAATTTACCTACCTCCAGATGGTGAATGGGGAGGTAGGACCAGTAATGGTAACTGGACAGGCATAATAGGAGAATTGCAGTACGAAGTGAGTATTGACTTAAATCATAAGTATAGCTCTCTCTAATCTGTTTTGCTATTCAACTGTGAAAACCATGTATATAGTATCAGTAAATGGAAAACCAAAATTAACGCTGTAAGTGGATAAAGTAAGTTCTTTGCTAAATGCGTGACTTTTATTCTGCAGATTAGAACGCCCCAAATCTGTAGCGCAACTTTCGACGGTGCCCTAATGCTCACACACATCAATGTGGAACATTTTATTATACAGGATGAAAAAGAGTTTAACTTCATACATTTCTGCACAGAGTAGGCTAATAAACATAATCTTTAAAGGGGCTAAATCGCTAACACTTGGGACCTAGAAATTGACAAAAGTGGGTCGCAACGCATATAATACTGTAATATGAATGTATATAAACTGATTTACATTCAATGGTTTCCGCTTTTACTCCAATTTCAAATCAGTTATGTTCGGGGAAATAAGCCAGCAGTCTCAAGCGAGCGCAAATTTCTAGCGTCTGGTTATTCCAGTTCACATACGCCGTTTGATTTGGTGCAATGTGTCTAGCCTCGTCCCTCGAGTCTCTTGATGCAACTGGGGCTGAAGCGCATTATGGTACACGATTCGTGTACCTATGGTAAAATGTTTATTTTGTCTTAAATATTGGATATCAAAAAGCCCATCTTTTCCCGGTAAGATCACAACATGAATGTTGATTTAATTTGACAAATAAATCGTGTTTTCAATGTTGAAGATTTTGGATGATATTGAGTTAGAGACTTGGCTACTTTAAGTGGCCTTTACCGATTGAGAACTCATTAACAGATTACAATTTTTAGGAAAAAAGATCACTGGTTATTCGTAACCTTTTATCGTTCGTTATCAAGCAGTAACGTCGTGCTTATAGAATAAATGATTGTGTTCTGTTAATGGACTAAAGAAGATGTGCATGTGCCATGCAGTTTGCTATGATTCCAACTGTCAAGGGTTCTTTCAAGTACACGCCAATGTTAATTAACATGGGGCGTCGTTTTTTTAGTCAAAACCGAACGACAATAAGCTGAGCCTTGCCAGGCTCTCCATCCCGCACCACTGACAAGTCGATTGAACGTGCACGTGCGTTACTTTACTTTTTATTGGAATTATATATTTTAGTGCAGTGGTCAACCAATTTAAGGCATAAAACTGTATACGTTTAGAATCTTCTCCTAGGCCATTTGGCGGCTTTCTGCGAAACTTTTCGAAATGTTGCTTGGGTTGTATTTTATGAGATTTGCTCAAATAAAGTTGATTGGACTATAACGAGATGGGGACCTTTATGGGGAACGCGTAGATATTTTCTACACACTTTACTTCTTCTCCTTAAACGTTTTATGGATTAAGGTAAATCTACGTCATTTGTGTTTTTTTCCCGGAAATATCAAAATTTCCACCACTTAATCAAAATATATTCAAATCGATTATTTAAGAACAGTCAATCCAAAAAAATCAAAAAAAAAATCAACGGCTTTAATTTAAGTAGATTTAAAAGAGGCCCATTAAAACAATAAAAGCGAAACTTAATGGTACCGCTGGTGTGTTTTGATTATAAATAGCCCGTAGTTGATGCCAAATTTATCTATTTTTGGAATGATATTTTATTTTATTTTTTTTTTATTTTTGCAAGTGAATAACAATCCACCAAACGACTTTCAGGGACTGTATGTAGCATAAGCTCGTATAATTATATTAAAGCATATGTGGGTAATAAAGTAGTATTATTAAACGGCCTTTCATTGATATATATATATCATTACTTGTTAGTTTGCCCCTTGTATTTGGGTGAACGATGGATAACAATTGAGACTCTCAGACTCTCCCAACACAGCAGAGAAACATAAAAAATACTACTTTCTGGATCTGCCGAACTTACCAATGCTACCAACTACTCCATATTTTCAATGGTCCATAATTTCATAGAAATTACAAAACGATTTTAGTTGGTTTAGTATTTTATATATTTTAATTATTATTATTATTATCCCCCCCCCCCCACACACTTAAATTTCAATATTATTATTATTGTTATTATTATCATCATTATTATTAGCCCACTTTGAATGCAATTGATTATTTGAATGTAGCTATATTTATGTACTATATTGTAAATAGTGTACATATTTCTTTTAACTTGTTTCTTTACATGTTAAAATTTTAGGGTATAGGGATTATATAGGCTCTGCCTGTTTCCCAATCCTAAAATTAAATAAAATGGTGTTTCTTTACATGTGACAATTTTGGAGAGAGGGATTATATAGGCCCTGCCTCTTTCCCAATCCTAAAATTAAATAAAATATTGTTTATATAAAAACAAAAACAAAATATTAAACGCCCTTTCATTGATATATAGAATTCTTACACGGTGTCCCTATTTTCAGAACGCCGATATATCTGTGGCCCCTCTATCATCAACATCGGATCGTCAAGAAGTTGCCAGTTTTTCCTATCCGTTCTTCATTGAATACACGTCAGTAATACTAAAACCACCAAACGAAGATGAGAAAAAATGGATGACATTTTTAAAACCATTCCACCAGCAAGTGCTGATCTACGTCACAGTTTCCTTGTTTGTTGGAACAATTGTTTTATTTGTCGTCGAGAAATTTAATCCATTCTACAGAAAACATCCAAATACTCCAGCTCAAAGTTTCTCGGACGTATTTTGGTATCTGTATGGAGCTATGTTAACACAAGGTAAGAAACACTATTATGTTAAAGCTCATGAGATATATAGGCTTATTGAATAGCTATTTTTAGGTAGGTTTACCTACATGCGACCCCCATGTGTATGTGTACTCCCATGGTACTTTAAACGCATTCATTTATTTATCAATAATTAATTAAAGAGGGTGTTTCAAAATTTAAAATAATAAATAAATAGATAGAACTCAAGTCACCATTGAATACCGCGGCAGGGATACACTCGAGTGAACCATTGAATAACCCGAGCGGTATCCAATGGTTATTGAGTTCTGTCTATTTATTCTATAACTACATGCAAATACAAGCAAATGTCATTGAATAACCATGAGTTATTCAATGGCTATATTCAATGATTTTTGCTTGTATTTGCATATAGTTATAGAATAAAATACAGATAACAAAACAATATGTTATAAAAAGTTTTTATTTGTCAAAGATATGGCACGACTGACTAATAACGAATACTTTTGGTCGCCGAATGCATCTGATCGGGGTAGGTGTTTTGAATGACAGTTTTGTGGGCATTGCTATTTGCCAGAAGAAATGTGCCCATATAGATTAAGCAATGCACTTCTATTGTTTGTATTTTATGTCCTAAGCAATAACATTTGTTTGTTTTTGGTTTTGCATTTCAAGTATATAACATTTTTTTTTTCAAATTCAGGGGGAGAAAAACTTCCAGGATCACTTGCAGGACGGAAGTTCATCAGTTTTTGGTGGTTATTTTGTATAATGTTGGTAGCTATTTATAGCGGTAACCTTATGGCTTTTTTAACCATTAATCGAGTCAATGTACCATTTGATACGTTAGCAGGAATGGTAAATCAAGATGAATATAAGTGGGGTACACTCGGAGGAACAGTTTGGTCAACCCTTTTTAGAGTAAGTATTTTTATACTTTTTAATAGATTAAATAATCTAGAAGGTAAACTTGATATTCTAATGATATGTTTTTATTCACATATTCAATTACTTTTTTTATTGCAAAATCTTGAAATGCAAAGTTTAAACAAAGAGGTATATTAATCTATTCAAGAAGAGTTCTGAAAGAAAAGAAAATGTATAACCATGTAAATATAAAACATTGTTTATATTAGCAACACACTAGCTTGGGTTTAAATTTTCAAGCCAACAGTGAGGTCGATGTTCCCCGCTGCCATGCTAAAATAAATAGATGACGCATAATGATTAATAGAAAATTTATCTTTTTGAAAAGTATCGTATAATCAAACTGATTATCTATGCTTACGCCAATTCGGATGGAAACTAGTTGCCACCTAAATAGGGGTAACTCCTAGCCTTTAGTGGTGTAAACCGATAACACCCAACTAGTGTAGAACATTACACCAATTCAGGTGGAAACTAGTTGCCACTTACAGTAGTGTAACCTGCCTGATGCACTCAGTGTAATGTTACACCCGCGGGTGTAGATTAAGCATAACCCCTCAAGGATGCTTTGTAAATTACACTTCCATTTTAATTATTACACCAACGTGGGTGTAATTTGTTTTGTTGGATATTTATTTTAAGCCAACGACTTCTAAGTTCAGAAAACTTGAAATTGGCTATACGTCTGTATGATAAAGGGCGTTTAGCCCGATCCAGATTACATAGACCGTCGGCTACTTCGCTTCATTTTACAACGACATTAAATTGACAAATATCCATCAGTCTGATTCAAATTCAACTGCTATTGGTCAATTAGACAATCTGTATCAATTTACAATGAATATAAATCATGAGGAAAAACCAATACACCCATCCTTACAACTTAGCTGAATAATGTGGTTTATTCATTTATGCACCTCACCTGAATTAAGAATAATTATGATATCGTACTTAGTAATATTTTGGAACATTAATATTTTGGAACATTTACACGTCTGTAAGTGTATACAAGCTACAATAATATATACTTGAGGCGTTATGAAATATTATTAAGATTACTATACATGATAATATTCTGAAAGGCATATTCGATATGAGTAAACACTCTAAAATGAGTTATAGTTGTATTGTGTCACTAATGCTATTAACGCCATATTTTACAACAACAAAAAAACAACCTCAAATTGGAGTACACAAATACTGTTGTAGCGCAAGATACGGTGTAAAATTGACACACTGGTAGTGATGTAGCTTATCCAAACCACCCCACTGTTACACCTATTCAGTCATGAATATCTGTTACACTTGTTAGGTGTAGTTATGTTAGCTGGTTATCCTTGGAAAGGTATTACATTTAAAAAACGCTAGCGGAGGTGTAAAGTTTACACTTAATTAACACTGCTTATAGTTTTTAGTTACACCCATTTATACAGTGTAGTCAAAGCATAAAAATGTTCACGGCCGAATAACCTCTTAGTAAAACTCTACACTCAGTTTCATCACTCTCGATAAGTTAGAATTAAAGTTGTCCCACATCATTGACCAATGAAATTGCTCAGCTCTGTTTAGCTTTAGCGGAAAATGTCAATCATTGAACTCAATCACCTAATAAACATCTACACCGAGTTTAAAAATTCTACCTCAATTAAAAGCCGAGTTGTTATGATCCAAAGTTGCTTATCGAAATACTTAGCCTAAGCAGAAAATTATCATCATCGAACTTACTCAAGGAACTTATATAATGAACCTATACTGTGGCGTTCATCACTCTCGCCCAATTAGAACCAAAGTTACAACCAAACAAATTGCTTATCTCTGCTTAGCCATAGTGGAAAATACGCATGATCGAACACTGTCAAGGCATTCACCTAATCGATAATTACGCCAAGTTTGAACAAACTACCTCAATAAGGAGATTTATTGTGTTCCAATTGCTTATCACTGCTTACCCTGAGCCGAAAATGTTCATTATCTCACTTGGTCATGGTATTGATGTAATGAAACTATGTAATAAAATTTGTTTTACAAATCAGACATTTGTCATATCAGATTTGTAAATTGTGTCTTTGTTGAATTTAATTGTTTTTTAATATAATAATAAATTATAAAAATATATTTACTTTTCATCAGAAATAAAATAAAAGTACGAACAATCCAAACCATTAGACAAAATTCGAAGTCCTACCAAGTACAAACAATCCAAACCATTAGACAAAATTCGGAGTTCATACAAAGAAAAACAAATAACAACAAATTTCAAAATACAAATCTCCAAATACCATCTTGTAAAACCAATGTCAAAAAACATTTCTCCAAATTCAACTAATTGAATTCTGAACATTATGACTAGCCGATAAAACAGTAGATGTGCTGCTATACGGTTCTTTCATAATATACATTCTACCTTGTAATTTAAGCTTTACATAAAAATTATTAAACTCTTTCAATATTTATAATTTTAAACAATGTACTTGTAATTTTGTAAATAATTTCTTAGGTGAGATTTATTATACCAAAATCGTTTCTGATGAAAGGAAAGACGCATATCGACATTGTTTTAATAAACATTGCATTGGTTATTTTAATGACCATGGATGCCGTGTAAATATTTCTTTGTTTGTATGACAGATGTGAAACGGACTAGCATAGCAACGCATTACAAAACAGTACACTAATTTTTGGATATGGCGGCCATTTAAGGCAGAGATCTATTCTCGAAGAATGGAGTAGATGGATCTCTTTGTGCAGAATGCTTAGGGAGGATTAGACAAGTTGTCTAGCCTGGCAGTTCAGCATTGTATGGCAGTATTATTCTTTAGATCAAATATATATAATTTTCGTAGAACATAATGAACTCTTGATGCCATCGGATGCCTCGGACTTTTAGTAGATCAAAAAAGTTTCGGCCATTTAATGGGTTAATTTACAAATGGAGAAGCGAGACTAAGACTCGAATGACCAGTACACAGTTTACGATCTTGTCAAAACTACAAACATTGATAAATAAAGTAATTTGAATGAAATTTTCAATATATTCGTTTTGCATTATGTACTTTTGAAATAGCATAGCAACACGATCTGCTATTTATCTAAATCTTACATAATGTCCATTTAATAGGGCCTGTCCTAATTTCGAATTAATCGATTTGACTAATTTTTGGACCCTTTGATTGTGTATGATCTAAAAACTCTGCATCCTAACCGTTTTTCTGACATGTTGTCGATTAAACACCATTATGTATTTATTTCAGAGTGCGGATAGTGGTATTTATAAAGCGATAGGTGAAGGACTGACCAGATTTAATGCCACAGATATTGGGGTTCTAAGCATCAAAACAGAAGATCATTTTCAAAAGCTGTACAATGAAAAATATGCATACATTGCTGACATGACATCTTTTCAGCTATTGATGAGTCACCATAATTGTAGTTTTTACATCATTAAGGAACGGTTTCTACCATTATATTACAGCATAGGTCTACCGTTGGATTCCAGCCTCCAAGACACGGTATCAACAGAGTAAGTTGCCATTTATGGTATACTAGCAGGATACCCGGCTTCGCTCGGGGGTCATAACCCGAAACCAGAAGTGGTAGACTAACGCCACCTGACCTATGTTACTCCCCGGTCTGAGCTACCCCTCTACCCCAAATTTCAGACTCGGGGCAGACCTAGTGTAGCCGCCAACCCCGAACAGACAGACAGACAAACAGACAGACAAACGACAGTCACAAATATTAGTATATAGATAGATAGATTGGATGTCATACTATCAGTTGTGAAAAGTTCGCCTTTCTATAATACATGTATGTGTAAAGTAGTGTACCATAGGTTTATGCAGAACCGCTGGCGACTAGAATAATAGGTGTCCACAACTAATCAAAAATACAATTTATTGTTACGGCAATGAAATATTCGCTCTTTTGAACGTGGGTGCACGGCATGATTATATAAACGACAATCATTGCCTAATAAGCAAAAAGTAGACCATGCACTTGTATATAGATGTCTTCCTGGTTCATTTTGGGGTGTAATATGTTTAAGCCACGCTTGTTCAAAATTAGCCACGTTCTTTCAAAATTGCCCTTCTATAGTCCGCGTAACAAATCTTGCAAAAACAAGACTAAGCTGGAAAGGGGGATCATGTGGACATTTTTAACATGTTGATGGCCAAGCATAGATAAGCAGTTTGATTGGGCGATACTTTGGATGCTTTGATGCTAATTGAGCTAGAGTGGTGAAACTTGGTGTAAAGTTTCACTGAAACAGACAATTTCATTCAAAGGAAAAATATCTGTTTCGATTAGAAACAATGAATTTCCAAGTTGACAATTTGACGTGACAACGAATTCTTAAGTTCGTGTTAATATGCTATTTTCCCATCTATATTAGCTCAGTCGGAGCATAATAGTGGGACGGTAAACCCCATTTCATTTCATACGTCATATTGATTGGCGAACATGGTATTCTGCTTAAAATATTACAGAGTATAAATGCAAGTAGGGTAATATTTGTTGTTTTATAATTTCAGAATTATCCGAATAACCGAGTCCGGAATATTGGCATTGTGGATGAACCGTTGGTTTCGCAAAGTCAGTTTGTGTGCGTTTAGTACATCGTCGTCTGTTGCCGTAGCAAAGATATTATCTTTAATTGATGTTCAAGCGGCGTTTTATGTTGTGTGTATAGGAGTTGCTGCATCTTGTTTCATTCTTTTAGCTGAACGATTCATACGTGCCCGTTGTGTTAAAAAGATAATTACAGAAATGAGGAAATACGCACCTAACAGACAATAACTACAAATTCTTGTGATTCGATAAACTGACTTAAAGGGTGGGGTCAGCAATTTTCAGCAAGTTCTCCATAAATTTTAAATATATGTTCGAAAATAATATCCTCGGTATTACAAGCAAAATAACGTTTTTGCAAGCGAGAAGTTACTTTTGATTAAAACCAGAAGTGATTTAATTTGTTCAACATGCTTGCTGATCTCTATAGTTAGCATACAGATTTGGCATAAGTTTACCGCTGTATTTTGTTCACCTGTCGTCATTTGGTCAAAAATCTGATTTAAAGGGCTGTTTATTAACTAAGTGACAGTTATTTCGTCAGCTTCGATGTTTTTGTGCTTGCTGACAGTGTTTTTTAACATAAACACACCACAATTATTATGGCGGGGTATCAGGTTCAAAATGCGATCTACAGTAGAAAGTAGAAAATAAAAAGCAAAAGAGAAAATTCTTATCCAAAATGGACATTTTCGTGTGGGAAACATATACCGCTCGTGCTTTTCAACCTAATACGTCCACCTTTTCAACTTTAAGTCGTAAATATTCTACTTTCAACAACAGCATTTCTACTTTCAACAACAGAATTTCTACTTTCAATAATCAACTTTTGACATTCGACTTTCAACTTCAGATTTTCTACTCAAGATTTTCTGCTCGAGATTTTCCCCATGCATATTACGGAAATAAATTTGATCACGTGACTATTTCTGCATGTCATTAAAATATGGTATCTATGGGATCGTTTATTTTTACGGGAAAATTCTGTTGTTGAAAGTAGAAATTCTGTTGTTGAAAGTAGAATATTTACGACTTAAAGTTTAAAAGGTGGACGTATTAGGTTAAAAAGCACGAGCGGTATTTTCTCTTTTGCTTTTTATTTTCTACTTTTTACTGCAGATCGCATTTTGAACCTGATACCCCGCCATAAATTATGGGCATGCAAGACATTTGGCACATATGTCGACGTGAGCGACTTCTCCTTCTTTTCTTCCATTTCATTTTGGGAATGGCTGGGCTCGAATCTGTATACGGCATTACTGTAGACTCCATCCCTTGGAGTCTGACATTGACATAATTTGGAAAATTATAGATTTTTAAGTATATAAAAACACTATCAGCATTCACAAAAACATTCAAGCAGACGAAATATCTGTTACTTGCTGGTCGTCAATTAAAAGAAAACCCGATCAAAGGGACTGTTTATTGGGATACTATAAATATAAAATTAAGTTTTTTTTAACGTTTTCTTGTTTTTGTTACAGAGGGAATTATGTCTGAATATATATTTAAGATTTATGGAAACCTTGTTGAAAATCGTTGTCTTTCCCCTTAAGACAGATTCCAATATTCTTTCCCCAAAGTTGACCAAATATTAACTTCGGGGGAAAAATGTTTTTGAAAGAAATGAATCTTAATACCATCTGTATCATTATATAATGCACAATTGGTGTATGGTATAGTTCAGACATCAAAGTCTTAAAACTTGAATATTTATCCTAAACCAACAACAGTATTGCAGTACGTAAATGTATGCTTAGCGTTTACCTGATTCAATAAGACAACATTAGCGAGGTTAGTAATACCTAACAACTAATTTTACCAATATCGTTTGGTGTGATGAGTTATGTTTTTTTTAGGACGGACATCTGAACTAATACAATATTGTGATTTTACTATAAACCTCCTTAATACTTTTATTTTATTGCATATTTAATGAAATACAAGTATATGCGTAGTTGTTTGTCTAGTTTTCCCAACAAATATCTCACTTTAATTTGATGCAAATGTTTCCCTTGTGGACGGACAATATATAAAGGTTGTAACATTAGCAAAGATTTTATACAATATGGTGATACTCTTACTGATTATCTGTCATTTTATTGTGCTTAAAATGGTCACCAACACTTTCTTTAGGGTGAATTAGAAAAAAATTGGACAATGCTTGCACAATGTATAGAGCCATAACCATAATAAGTAACAACCATCACCTTCAAAATGTAACAGCGGTACCTACCTCGACACCTTTGTCATTTTTAACTGTTTATATAATCCTGTAAATACTGGGGAATTGCAATGTATGCCTATGATATTTTCAAGTATATAATTGGTTATATATGTTTTGTGTTATGATTTAGTCTGTTTCATAATTCGTTGGAGCTGACGTGCCATAAAACACAATATCATGATTAGATTACACAAACTAAATAAAGCAGGATCTACTGCACATTGACATAACACACTGAAGATCCAAGTTTGATTTACATTTACACATATCTTCAATTTAAATGTAAAGAATAAACTTGTGGCAAAAATCTCCACACTTCAACACACAGGGAGAAAAACAACTACTTAAACTTATCAATAACACAAATCTGAATTAACACAGAACAGAGAAGTCAGTAACTGCATCAACAATATGTGACTGCAACAAATTCATTGAATTATTTTTCCACGGACAGCTTAACGAGAGTCGCCAAGATGATCGGCCTCCCATCGAATTACAAACACAAACATCTGCATAATATCAAAGCAGAGACAATCATTATATTTAATCATTATATGAAAAAGACCCATTAAAAACATTAGACTTTATCGCGTTCATAAGGGGACATTACTACGGAACGGAAAATCGCGGAACGCTGATGACAATCAATAGAGTTCATTCTCTCATGACTTCATTGCTTGCCACCAAATTTGAAAATAATCTGTTTTCGATAAAGGGGGTATAACTCGTGTAATAAACGTCGCAAAACACTGAAAATCGACAAGGTTCGTCGGTTCATAACCAAGATGTGTCACACAAAATCTAAAGGGGTCGATGTTTCACTCCGGAATAAACTATAATTATGGCTTATAATGAATTAATAAAAGGCAATGTAATGTACATACTTTTTTCTATTTTTTTGCTTTCGCTTATCTCGTGACAGTCGATTTATGAATTGTTAATTTCGAACAGATATCCCCCACAGTCTAATATTACAAATTTTCGTCTTCAAAGGAATTATTTTATATTATCAAAGATTGTTAAAAATTTGACTGGAAAGGGCAAGTACACAGTGGGGAGCCTTCGAAGTGTTGCAAAATGTTCTAAGGGATCTGCGAGTGGGAAAGGGTTGGGGACCACTGTAACAAGCAAAGAAAGGTCATTTAACGTTGAAATATATAGGGAGCGTATTGCTTGTCTTAGCTGACCATTAGAAATGGTGTTACTTCCCTTCATTCACTCACCGCGAGTATTTCACATCGCAGGACGACAGTTCGAATCAATGTAACATATCCATGTAACGTATCTTACAAAAGACAATTTCAGCGTATTTCTTCCCTTTATTTGTAGTTACCCTTTAGCAATCTCTCGATAACATAATCGGGATCAGTATGAAATTGTTTGAGTAAAATCTCGAAATTACAATCAGTGTATTACAATTCGGCCTTTATTGTAATAAATAAATGTTTAGAAGCTCGACTATCGGACAAACACTATCTGAGCCACTGTATGTGTTTGATACTGGTAGAGCATTATGATTATAAGAGTATTGAAACCACATGGCTTCTTTTCATTTCCGAGGGGCGCAGTACTTAAGAAAAATACAAAAGCTCGGAATTAAGAACTGTTATTTAAACTATACAACTATGATATTCTGGCACATATTCGTTTTATGTGCCCACGCGTAGTTTGGGCGTATATAGTCATCACCCTGTCGGCCCAATCCGTCCATCTTTCAACAGTTGGCTTGTGAACGCGTTAGGCTACAGTTTCTGACTTATCTTTCCTTCCCGAGTTAATAGCGTGTGACAGAAATCAGGTTACTGTACCCATGACTATCTTTTTGAAGTGTAAAATACCATAAAAAAGTAAGTTATGGAGTAGGTTATATTGTTCGCAAACGTTCATACCTTGTTGATTATATCGGTCAGACAAACACGGTACTTGTGTTATTTATTTCGGTCAGAATCTTGACCTATTGAGGTTTTAATAATGAAAATAATGAAATACAGGGAAACAAATCCTTTCTGGCGAAAATAAAAGATATTGCTCCTTCGTGTCATCAATTATGCGGTTATGACGATGTTGTTGTTTTTTTTTAAATGTGGGGGTTCGTGACTCTTTATTTCTGGAACATGATAAGTATTGTATTGGCTGTCCTGATATACAATAGGAAATTTACAGTTTACTTTCCATAGATTTCCCGTGACTTCCCTCGAGACTTAGCAGATATGGACTATACGTTCAGAACGATAATGCCAATATTTTTCTGTCAATGACAAGTAATTCCCCGAGGGTCTAACGGGGATCAGTGGGAATTCTGCAGCCATATATGACTGGGGTACTGTACTAATTCACCAATGGTTTGAAAGACATGAATTAGTAATGATAGCCATATGTTAGAAAATAAATTTTCTTCTTGTTGAAATAGTTTATAATAGAGATTGGAATGATATGTGTGACTGAGTGAAGTGACCTGTGCTGTAATAACAAGTTTAAATCACCCGGACCAGAAACCTGCAACTGAACGATGTATGAATTAGAATTTGAATAGATTTTACATCTATTCGAACAATCCAATAAAATTATTTATAAAACAATAGACTGAGAGCAATTACGTATTCATGACGCCAACTCCACGAAAATTTAACAGAAGACACATATTGTCAACGGGGCCAGTGTCTGTGATTAGTGAAACCGTGTCATCAAGGGTTAGTTGATATCAGGACAATATGCGGGGGACTAATATAAGGCTTAATTATCAGAGACTAAGAAGTTTTGTGAATGTATAAAGGACCATAAAGATGCATCATGGAAGAGCTAAATCTATCTTTTGAATGGATTGAAATGATATACAAATTATTATTTAGACGTTTATTCACATGGCAAACCCATAATAAGTTCCCTTGGCTAAGATGTTAAATGGATTAGATAATGTCGCCATATCTTCCTTAAAATGGAAAATCGAGACCTAGTTCATTATCGTAGCAATGGTACTTGCTTATCGAGACTATTTAATCTATTTCGTGTCTAAACTTCAGCCATAACTTCGCCTAGAATAAAATAATTTCATTTTGATTTTTATCAAAACATTCATTTTTCATTATCTATATTTAAACCATTATTACCAGAACGGCCAGCCCTTTATCTAAATCTTACATAATGCATCTTTAAGCCAATTAACTATCAGAACTTTTGTTCCCCCGGTATTGAAACGCCATTAAAAAATCGTAACGTAACAGTAATTTTTAGTTGGACATGTTGACGATTAAACCAAAAAAAAAGTCGGTAAGATTTCATTTTGGCCTCAGTGTTTGTGGATAGAAATGAGATATCGGCTAGGGCTAGTATAATGATGTTAGAGAAAAATGGCATCAGGAATGGACCAAAATGTTTATTGTAAAACTGCTTCATATGACTGGTCAT